TCTTCAGAAATGGGCTAAGTTTCGGGTCAGGACCCTTCTTCAGAAATATCAACTTTCCTGCTCCTTTGATGCTGCCCGGCCTGCAGTGTTCCTCCAGCTCCATACTGTGTTGGTCAGAGAAAGAGCTTTTTTTCATTAAGCAAGTGGTTATGGCCTGGAATGCAATACCTGAATACATCATACAGCACAGAAGTAAGCCCTTCAGCCTGTATGTTGAGACAGGTTCAAATCAAGGCATTCAACAGAAATCAAGACTTATTCGAAAAGGAACACTTTGCATGGGTGTGGGGAGAGGAATGAGAAAGTAAAATGTTCTTTGAGAATTGGTACAGACATAGGTTAATTGGCTCCTTTTTGCACTGTAATAATTCTGTGAATGCTCAATCTGCTTTTGCCACAATTTCAGGTAGCACATTCCAGATTATAATCAGCTGCTTTAAAAAAGCTGATCAGCGTAGCATTTTTCTGGCCACTTACTTCAAACACACATCTTCTGGTTTCAGATGCTTCTGCCATTGGAACCAGCTTTTCCTCATTTAGTAAGCACTGCATGATTTTGAACATTATCAAGTCTGCTGAGTCTCTTTTAAAAAGGACAATCACCATACTCTCCAAGTAATCCACTCAGCCTAAAGAGGAGTGCCCAAAATTCGACAATACCACAGCTGGGCTCTGACCTGTGATTTCTAAAGAGTTTGGCATAACTTTGTTTTTGTACTCCATACCTTTATCTATTAAGCCAAATATCTTTTATAAAAAAAGTCTTCTCAACTTAACACTGTCAACACTTCAATTATTAACATCAAATTAAATTGAGACAAATATCGTAAAAATCATCTTTAATCAAAATTGATTTACTTAATACACTGGAACTCTAACTAATCATGTTTTTTTCCCTAAAAAGTACCCACCCGTCCAATAATTATTTAAAAAAAGGTTGGCTTGTATCAGATCATCACTTTTCCCCCATCCTAATATTTCTCAACATTTCATTGTACATACTATGGGATTTTACAGTTTCAGCCATATCTAGCATTGAATTCTAATAAAATATAAATATCTTTATGAAGTTTGGAAAACTTAGTAGTCCCAGGGTTGTGACTGGGTTCTGTACTTGAATACATTTGTAAGTCAATTTGTATGCAAGTCAGAACATAATACAGGACAGTGTAAAGTAGCTGTCTATAAATGAGGAAATGTAGTGTGTTGGAACTTTAAGATAAATATTCACATACTCCTGTATGGGATTGCACTCCAGTATGGGACTGCCTGTAAAGTTACTACTATCAGAACAAAGGATTCCTGGACTGCCAAAACTTCCAACCACAGACCACATACTCCAATCAAATATCGGCAGGCAAACCAACAGGGCCACAGCTTGTGCTTTAAGCAAATGTAAGAAAAAAGTGCTGCTGACATATCTAGTTTCAATAACAATTACGTCTTTAGGCACTAAATTCAAACGTTCTCATGTAAGCAAACACAAAGATTTTGGATTTTCTCCATGGTTCAGCAAGTTAATTCCAATTGGAATGGTTCTATAATGCAAAATGGAAGCGCAGGTATTGCTGCTAAAATGAAGGATTTTTTCACCTATTTGTTCATGGAATATGACTGTTGCCGTTTAGACTAGCATTTATTGCCCATTCCAAATTGCTCTTAATACAAAGGTGAGACGAAGTGGTGTTGGTACATCAAAAATGTTGCTCAGGATGGTGTTCTAGTGTTTTAACCCAGTGAAAGTGAAGAAATAGAATCTAGTTCCAAGTCAGGATGCTGTATGGCTTAGCTTTGTCCCACGGATCTGCTGCCCTTATCCTTCTTAATGGTAAGGACTTCAAGTATAAGACACGTACTAGTGTCTTTCACAAAAAAAAAAGGAAATTTGCCTTCCTTCCATTGTCTGGCACACGTGACTCCAGACCAACAAAGACAATGATGCTTAACTGTCCCCAAATGGACAAACACTCAACACCATTACTTGCTATCTCTTCTAGAAATAGCTGACTGTATTGCTAATATCTCAATAAAGTGTTTTGCACAGTCACATTCTCCAAGAGTTCTTACCTCCAAAAACAATTTGGCTTCTTGTAAGCTGTAGTGTTTAAACACATTCTTCTATGTAAATGCTGGTCCTGTAGGAGAAAATAAAAACAACACTGATTTGAGAATACTAGTAGGATATTTAAACACACAAGATCTTCTACTCTGTATCTTAACAGATAGCACAATGATCTAATTAAAAACATGCAAGTAAAACAATGGCAGATGGAGTCTAATCCAGGTAAGCATGAAGTGTTGTATTTTGGGAGATCAATGGTAATGGCAGGACCCTGAACAGCACCGATGTACAGAGAGATCTTGGGGTTCAACTACAAAGGTCCCTGGAAGTAGCCACACAAGTAGATAAGGTGGTAAAGAAGGCGTAAGGAATGCTTGCGTTTAATGGTCAGGGAATTGAGTACTAGAGTCAGGATGTCTTGTTGCAGCTTTATAAGATTTTGGTTAGGCAACACTTGGAGTATTTTATTCAATTCTGGTTGCCACATTACAGGAAGGATGTGGAGGCTTTGGAGAGAGTGCAGAAGAGGTTTACCAGGATGCTGCCTAAATTAGAGGGTATGAGCTATAAAAGGAGAGGCTAGAAAAACTCACGTTGTTTTCTCTGGAGCGACAGAGGCAGAGGGGAGACTTGACACAAGTCTATAAAATTATGAGGTACAGAGAGAGGGTTGACGGTCAGAATCTTTTTCTCCAGAGTTGAAATGTCTAATACTAGGGAGCATGCATTTAAAGCGAGAGGGGAAAAAGTTGAGATGGAAGGGTTTTTTTTTCCCCCGAAACAGAGTGGCAAGAGTCTGGAACGTACTGCCACAGGTGGTGGTAGAGGCAGATATGATGGCAGCGTTTAAGGGACTTTTAGATAAGCACATGAATATGCATGAAATGGAAGGATATAGACCAAGGGCAGGCAGAAGGGATTAGCTTAATTTGGTATCATGTTCAGCATAACATTGTCCTGTGCTGTTCTATATTCTATGACTCGGAGACACCAATAGCTGTTGTGGAACACCAGCTGGGAGGCCCCTTCATCCACGGCCTTTTTGTTGGTGCATATAAGCACCTCAAAGGTCTGATTGTTAATTAAAAAAAAGCCTGACCGGTCAGCTGTTCAGCTTTTTGGAAGAAACACTGTCTGTTCATCAACTCATTATCTCAGAGTACAAAAGGATTTTGACCAGGTGGGCCAATGGACCGAGGAGTGGCAGATCAGTTCCATTTTGCCTTTTGAGTTGGTTTTGTTTTCGGGTTAGTGGCCAAGAACAGGGCTGTCTTATTTTCTCTTTGATTCCCCTGTAAGAGCCACGGGGGCTGTTTATTTTATCAAGAAATATTTATTCCACATTTTGGCCTCTTGTTATCCCTACCCAAGAATTGTTGGTGGGGGCAGAGTTGAGAAAAGCCATTTGTTTGTCTTGGTTGCTTTTCTTTTTCCAGAGTCATTGGAGTTTCACTTTGGTTCAAAAGTCAGGGAAACTTTTATTTTTCTGTTTTAAGAGGGCAGATTGTGCTTTACTCTGGGCTTAACGTGGCACTGTCCTCATCCGGGGAGTAGGTGATGGGGGCTGTGTCGGGGATGGGGCTTTACCTTTTTGTCTAAAAGAGTGGAGGAATGGCAGATGGAGTTTCATTTAGATAAATGTGAAGTATTGCATTTTGGAAGGGCAAACCAGGGCAGAACATATACAGTTAATGGTAGGACCCTGGGGAGCATCGCCGAACAAAAAGACCAAGGGGTGCATAGTTCCTTGAAAGTGGAGTTGCAGGTAGACAGGGTAGTGAAGGTGGTGTTTAACAAGCTTGCCTTCATTGGTCAGAACATTGAGTGAACGAGTTGGGATGTCATGTTGCAGCTATATAGGACATTGGTGAGGTCACTTTTAGAACATACATAAAATTTTGCTTGCTTTTCTATAGGAAGAAGGTTATTAAACTTGAGAGGTTACAGAAAAGATTTACAAGGATGTTGCCAGGATTGGAGGGTTTGAGTTACAGGGATAGGTGGAATACATGGAGGCTTATTTCCCTGGAGCAGAGGCTGAGGGGTGACTTCTATTGAAGTTGACAAAATCACGAGGAGCTTGGATAGGGTGAAAATTCTAGGTGGGGGATGTCCAAAACTAGAGGGCATTGGTTTAGTGTGAGAGGGGAAAAGATTTAAAAAGGACCTGAACAGTAACTTATTCACGCAGCGGGTGGTATGTATATAGAATGAGCTGTTAGAGGAAGTGGTGGAGGTGTGTACAATTACAAACAGTAAAAGACATCTGGATAGGTGTATGAAATAGGAAGGGTTTCGAGAGATATGGGCCAAATGCTGGCAAATGGGACTAGATTAATTTAGGATATCTGGTCGGCAAGGACGCGGTGGACCAAATGGTCTGCTTCCTTGCTGTATGGCGCCATCAACACTTAAATGGCCTCCTTCCCACACCTACCTCCCTGATTGAAAAGAATCAAACACCCCAAATTTTTAATACTGGGATCACACTAAAATCGGAGGCATTGATTTTGAGTCAATGAAGCATTGATTATGGAGATGTGAGTGTTCTCTTTAGAGAAGGTGAAGAGGAGATTCCGGAGAAAGTGTTCAAAAATCACGAAGGTCCTAAACGGTGAAATAGAAACTGTTCCCATTGCTGAAGCAATGAAAGAAACCGGCTGAATTTGAATGAACGGGAAGGTCCCACAGTGACAGGAGGGATTTTTAATCTTTAGTCCAGTAAATGGTTAGGAGCTGGAATGCCCTGCCGCAGAGTATGGTGAACGTAGGTTCAATCGGGGTTTTCAAAAGGGAACTGGATAAGCATTTGAAGAGGGATAAATATGTCTACAGTACTACAGGGGAAGGAAAGGGTTTGGAAACTAGCTGAGCTGTTGTTGTACAGTACCTGTACGGATAATGACAGGCCGAATGGACTACATTGTAAAGACAGTGACGATTCTACGCCGAATAGAAACGCGTCCACATCCCAGGTAAGCATTGCTGCCAACAAGGTAGGTTATAGCCAGCTAAGGAGCTTTGACAGTTGGTTAACGCTGGGCAGGGTGACCTTCTTCTCACCCTCGGGCCCTCGCACCTTGCCCTTCAGCTCCTTCCTTACCTTCAACAGACTATGCTGGTGACAGACGCTGCGAGCCAGAAGGCTGGCCGAAGGGATCTCGTGGTCCCGGCGACCGTTGAACAGACCGTTCATCAACGCGCCGCTCGCGAACGCGCTTTGTCTATTCCACGCGCAGCAACGGCTCAAAAACAGCGCCATTTTTACCGGTTTCTCCCGTCCCGTCCTGTCCCGTCCCCTTCCCGTGTCCGGCGAAGGGGTCTGGGAATGCCTGTGTGAACAAATTATACCACGAATATTTTTCCTTTTGAAAACAATAATTGTTTGAGTTTTAGATCAGCCCGAACGGAAACCTACTCGTAAAATAATAATGGGCATGAAAAACTTATTAATTTTTCACATCACTGTGTTTGGTGCCGTTTGACCCGGAAATTATTCTGTTAAACGGGGAATTGCTCGGGATTGTGGGAAGTTGTCTTATCTTAAATGTGTAGATTCTCCATTTGTACCTCGACCTTTATTTTCCCCCTTTTGAAGTGTCTGTGAGTGAGAACTGGCGCCGAGTTCTGCTTTTCTACTGGAGCAAAATATCAATTGAGTTGGTTGATTTGCAAATATTAATCATCGTTGTCTGTACACCTTTGTTCAATTGTCTTCCAAAAAAGTTACCCCCACCTGCTGACTGAAACATACTACGTACTTCGCATAAAATGCAAGAATCAGTACATGTTGGATCCTTCCTAAAATGAAACGGATGAAAGAAAAGCACTATGTTTGCGATAAAAGAACTCAAACATTATACAATCAAGATGATGATTTTGGGATTGATTTGGGAGTCAACTGTTGGGATTTTCTGTCGAGGGAAAAGTACAGAGTTTGAAGTTGTTTCTGTTCCAGAATGTGATTCAGTTGATTCTAACCATTTTACCAACAGTGATAGGTTGGGTTACAGCAAGATTAACCGTAAGGGGGTTTCCTTGGATCAGTGGAATTTAACATCCCAGAAGTTAATAGGTAAAATCGTCTTCCATGTAGTACAAGCAGTGAAGTAGATAGATTATTTACTGCATTTTCAAGGCCCAGCGTTTTAGAATACCATGTAAACAGATGCTTGTACGTTTTTGAAGGTCATTGTGGTTCTGACAGCCTTAATATCACTGTGTGGAGCTGGAAGCACACAACAGGCCAGGCAGTATCAGAGGAGCAGGAAAACTGACATTTCGGGTCGGGACCATTCTTCCGAAACGTCAGCTTTCCTGCTGCTCAGATGCTGCCTGGCCTGCTGTGTTCCTCCAGCTCCACACTGTTATCTCAGACTCCAGCATCGGCAGTTCTTAATATCACTGATGCGTCATTTCTCTGGCTCGCACAAAAGCTGCACTTCCCGTGGTGATCCTGTTGCTGCATGCAGTACTTTGAACGGTAAATGACAGACTATGATGAAATGCACAGATGAAAATAACATGGAAGTGATTTCTGAAATTATTAAAGCTGTGAACAGCTGTTACATCTGCAGCATTTTTTTTATTATTGTAACAGATGGTATACGCTCCTATGCCTTATGGTATTGAATGCCTGAGTATGTAAGGTTGTCCACTCTGGTCAGAAGAATACAAAAGAAAAATATTTAAATAGAGAGATTACAAATGTTGTATGGTACAGAGGAACCTGGGTGTCCTTGGACATGAATCACGAAAAAGGTTAACATGCATGCACATGAAGGGATTAGGAAGGTAAATATGTTGGTTTTTATTGCAAGGGGAATGGAGTACAAAAAGCAAGGATGTCTTGCTACAACTGTACAAGGCATTAATTACACACGCCTATAATACAGTTTTGATCATCTTATTTAGGGAGCGATGTACTGTATAGGAGAAGGTTCATTTGTGGAATTAAGGGGTTGCCATATGAGGAAAGGTTAAGCAGGTTGGGACAATATTCATAGTGGTTTTGAAGAATTCAAAGTGATCTAATTGAAGCATGTAAGATTCTGAGGGAGTTTGACAAGGGAGATGCTGTGAAGATGTTTCCCCACGTGGTGGAATCTGGAACTAGGAGGCATAATAAGGAATCTTCCATTTTAAGACAGGCAAAGAGGAATTGTTCATCTGTGGAATTCTGTACCCAGAAATATTTGGAAGCTAAATCATTAAATACACCCAAAGACTAAGATGCATATATTTTTGAACAATAGTTGAGACAAGGTTGTTGAGAGTAAGTGGGAAAATAGCATTGATAAGCAATGATCTTATTGAATGAAGGAGCAGGGTGAAAAGTCATATGGCTAATTCCTGCTCCTTGTTCTTATGTTCTAGCGCCCTTATCATCAATAGTAAACAAATTGCACATAGATTCTGTCCATGAGAAGTAATCACAATACCCAGATCAAGTTGTTGATCTAATGAATATGAAATAATGAATAGAAAACACTACTGTGGTTTTATTAAACACTTTGTATGTGAAAACATTAAAAAGAAATAGAAAAATACTAAAGCACATCTGTGCACAAAATACAGTGCATCATATTTTTTCCTAAGTTTTAGGCTAAAGAGTGCGTTGTACAAAACCCTAGTTAGACTCCACTTAGAGTACTGTGAGCAGATTTGGCCACCACACCTTAGCAAGGATGTTTTGGTTCTGGAGGGAGTTAAACTCAGGTTTGCAATGATGATGGAGATAGTAGGAACTGCAGATGCTGGAGAATCAGAGATAACAAGGTGTAGAGCTGAGTGAACACAGCAGACCAAGCAGCATCTGAGCAGCAGGAAAGCTGACGTTTCGGGCCTAGACCCTTCTTCAGAAAAGGGTCTGAAGAAGGG